GATTAACTCAAGTGCTGTAGCTAGCAGTCTGAAACCCGCTCAGCAGCAAACGCACATAAATCTCCTTGCTACACTACACAGGGCTAAGGAAAAAGACAGCATTAGCTGCCTATTCAGATTTTCAGTAGAGTGCATAAAAAAGACTCAACATTAGCTAATAACAAGGCTCTCAAAGGTCTTGTTATTTAATCTGTCTGTAACCACAGTCTGCAGTGGTCATCCAAGCATCAGGTTTCACTGCCGGCCACAGCAAACTCTTATCTCACCGGGAAACGGATGAGCCCGTCGGACATCTCGGGCCCCTGGGGCCCTGTGCACAGGGGCCCACTGCCCAATGTAGTTGTGTAATCTCTTTCAATTGCAATTAGAATACATTATATAAATTAAATAGAATTTAATTAGTGCACAGGCCTGTCACATAAGGTTCGCATTCATATGTGGGATTCCATGACGTTAAGTGACTAAATTGTAAAGGCTGTTATACTATTATACTGCTATTATAATATTAAATATTAATTAACATCATTATTAAAATATTAAACTATTTTAATTTATTCATACAATCCCCTTTTCTTAGTTTTCTTCACAGTTTTCTTATTGAAACTGCACACGTGCTATGCAACATGGCCTACTTGAAAACTCTTCTTTTTTTAACTGAAAACCACAATTTACAAATTTAGTGCTAATGCACAAAAGAGTATTTTTTGTACAATAATGAGATCAATTAGCTCCTTTCAACTAAACTAAGTAAGTTGGGCTGATGGATTTCTTCACATCTAAGTCTAACATTTTCACATATTCTCATATTCTGCCCATATTTTTATTTGTAGGTCATATAAAAACCAGCAAGTCTTGAATCACACCATACAGAGGTGTAAGAATTGTTGTGACATGAATGATAACATCCATAGGCACAAAGCAAAATGTGTCCCTATTTTTGAACTCATTAACACAATATCACAATTCCTTAAATCCCTGGAGAATCATCAGCAAGCCTAACACAGAAAGCAATATATTTACAGTGTTACCCACAGCCCAACTTTTCAAAATGCCCCCTTTTAATATTATAGTACAGGCAATTTAACAATATATGCAAAAAGATGTAGATATAACAAATAAAACCGAATAATGTAAAGGACATTTAGAAACATTCTTACAAAAATGGTTGCTTACAGCATATAAACCCTGAGTGTCAGAGTACTACATTTCCAAGTATGCACAGAAAGCAATATCCTTGAAACCTGACATCTGCTTGGTTATCAGGTAACATTTAGATGGAAGATTAGATTATTTTAAGGTACGTAGTGTGCCAGAGATTTTAATCCATTATCTCATATTTGCGAGAAGTGTTTTGTTCCTACAAGAGTACTTGCTAAAATTAACCAAGAGCAGGTATCTGCGGTTTCAGGTGACTTCTTTTTGACATATCTTATTCAGAATCAAGGAAAGGACTAATGTTCAATCAATGGACAGAGGGGTTATATGCATGTGCATCTGCTTTGCAGATTATTAAACAAGATAATTGCCGAATAATGGATTCAAATAACGTTCTGCAGTGATTCCATAAGGGCATTTGAAACTGAAAGAGAGGGCTTGGAGGACACTGCTGCTGAGATATTTTTATATTTGAGCAGCTGATCCATGCATTTAGATCAATAGATTAGATAAGTGGAACAGTATGAAATGATTAAAAACATCATTCTAATTTTCACAAGCTGAGGAACTCTCGCTGTTCTTTGATGAATACACAAAAGCAAATGGAACATTTCAAGAAGCTACTGCAGGCTGACAACTGTTAAATTAATACCAAACTTGTCACCCTGAGGTATCCTGAAACAATAACACTTATTTAAAGAAAACAAACATTATATCAGTATTTGATTAGTATCCATCAAAGGATTAGATCTTTAAATATTAACTCATAGTCTACAGTTTGTGGCTTTGTCTCTAAGGCAAAGTAGATGCTCTAACTGACCTCAGAATATCAGCAAACAGCAGAAAGGGAGAGAGAAATTTGGCAAGCTATTGTTTTTTCTGCCTACACAGGAACTAAGCCAAGACCCTGGTTCCTCGACGCTGATACTGAAAAATGCTTCAGTGGCAGACATTGTGACAGGTGTTAACAGCATATAGAACCTTACATCTGTGCACTGCCCCTCACATATAAATGATCACCTGTCACGTTCTTCATGGGGTGAGAAATTGCATATACAGTACTCTAGGATAGCAAACAATATGATGCATTAAGTAATAAGAATAACAGCAATCATAACTATCCTCATATTAAGAGGCCAAGTAACAATACTGCTAAAAACCTAAAGTGATTAACTCAGGTTCTTGTGATCAGTTCTGGGAAATTTTCAGAAGTCTAAGAGATCCATACCTTGCAAACTGTGTTGTAAGTTCTTATGGGGTATACACAGGCTCACCGTTACTCTAAAGGACATACATTCATCCAGCAATGAGCTTGCCTCTGACTTGACCTCTGACTTCTCTGCAAATAACTCCAGAGCCTGGTCTATGATTCCTATTTTCAAGGATTCGAGAGTCTCTCACAATTTTCCAAAATCCTCATCTTTGAAAACAATCTAAGAACAGATCTGAATCTTAATGCATACTGTTACCTCATATCCAAGACACAGACTGGTCCAGAATTCAGGACAGGTGTAGTGACCGCATGCCTTGGCTGTGATATTGTATTTGTCAAAAACATGCAGGTTTATTATGGAACACACACAGGAACCCAGCCATGACCTACAGAAAAACCTCCCGTATCCTTAGAAATCTCTGAACACTACTGTAGGAGGAAACCACTGTGCAATTGTCCTGCATTCCTTTGACATTCCCCAGCAGAACTCCACATAAAATTGAACCCTCACCCCACCTAGAGAATTGTCTTTGTGCATGGAAAATATCGTAATATGAAGTAGAGATGAGACAATTGCAAATGCAAAACTGAAGTGAGTAAACAAAAATAATGCACTTTTAATTATCGTATATTTGGTCTCAAGTTCTCCACAGCTGAATTTTTGCATTGTACACAACTACTGTAGGCTGTAACTATTGGCTAGGCACTATGTGGAAGTCTGGTCATATGAGATAGAAAAGGGTCGATTTAACTGAATACAAAAACAGTATTGTTTAATTTTCTACAATCATATCTTAATAGTGCATGAGGACGATCTGTTCCAGTTTAAAATTATTCCGTCTCTTTCAGCTCTTCTTTCAAAAGAAGATGAGCATCAGAAACAGTTTTCCACACATAACCTACGGTATCTGTTGGATTAAAAACTCAGAGTGCACATGCGAGAAGGAGATTATTTTTAGTCTGCGCCTTTAAAATGTAAGGCTCTTGCCAAGACTCAGAAAAGCCACTGTTTCCCTGCTCCAATCAGAGAGAACTGCCTTGACAGAAGCTGCCTTTCCCAGATGGTGGCACCTCCAATGTCACCCCAGCCTTCATTGTAAATGAAGGTTCTGCAGAGCTAATGCTTGGCTCAGGCAGAGCCGAATCCTAGAGCAGCAAGCAGCCAGCCAAGCTAAGGGGACTAAATAACAACAGACTTTAAGGATCTGTACAAACTGCAATGGCACACACAGAAAACAGTCAGACCTAAAAGACTGGTGTTGTCTTCTATTTCTAGTCTTTTCCTTCTGGACCCTGATGCACTGTGAACACCAATTAAAGTTTTGGATTTTTCTTATCAAGAAAGGATTATTGGATTTTTTAAAAGCATCTGAGTGTCCTTAAATAGCTTTGATACAGATCTACAATGTTAATAAAAAGTAAACCTCTAAATACACAGTTCTTCCTAACCCTACTAAAACATGATCAGTATGTACAGTACAACAAGCCCAATGACATGACTGCTGCCCAGTTCTGGTCTGTTGTAAGAGCAAGTAAAGCAACAGAAAGCCTCACGTCCTATGCACATGCTGCTGAGTGTTTCAAAAATAGATTTTTACCATGATTAAAGCAAGGTTAACATAATCAGACAACCAGCTTTTCTGCTGGGAGCTGTTCTTGGCGTAAGTCATTTATCTAAATGTACACACTGCTTTTTGTCTCAAACCAGTCACCTCCTCCTGGTTTGCTCCTGCCCTTCATTAAGGTATTACTCTGAACATGCCGAAGGACAGCGCAGGAACAAACTCCACGTCAGAAGAAATTCCATTTAAACAGAGATAATAAAAGACATTGGATTTTGCATTAAGTGGAATCTAGCTGCCCATGATCAATGGCCAACACTCCCTTTCCTGTGCAGCAACATGGAATAAAAATGGATAACAGTAACAGCTATGGGACTGTGCTTTCGTTGTACCTGGTTAATTTTCACAGTTTAATGTCCTACAGTATTTCTGTCATGCAGCATACTTCAAGGCACCATTAGATTCACAAATTCCATATGGTGAAAATGAAACTATTTTATATTCTAAACTCCAAAGCATTTTCAAGGAAAATCTGATTTATGAAAGCCACAACCAAAACCACAAATACAACTTTGAGTGTATCATAAAAACATGATGCAACTGAGGGGGGTTTGCTCAACCACACAAGCTCCTTTCACTTACAGATAGATTCTGCTTTGATTTGTTGTACACTTGAAGAAAAAAAAATACCGTAGGTAAAATAACAAAAAAATATTTTTGGAAAAATGGTGAAATAACTTTTTGAACGAATATCATAACTCACTGCATTTCTTTATTGTAATTCCCATTAATATGAAATCAACCCATATTTATGGTGCTATACAGGTTTAAGACAGCAGATTAACACAGGTCTGTCTTGAACTGATGATAATCATTTCTCCAAAAGCAAAGCAAAAAGAAATATCTGTTGATTTATTTAATTGAGAGCTAAAAATCAATAATGAAACAAGGGGTAAAATTACCTGAAGTGAGCCGCAGAAAAATAATTGTCTTTTACTGAACAACAAAAAAGCTAAAAAATAGCAGTTTATTATTTCGTATTGCAAAATGTTAAGAAATTGTATACTCACCTCTTTCACATGTTCTGGACCAGAACCCAGTGCCAGTGCAATCACAAATGAATCTATTCCAGCCTTCTTTGCACAAAGCATTGTTTCTGCAGGGATAACTTTCACACTGTTTACCATTGACCTTGGTGCAGGAAGGCTTTATTCCGGCTCCATTCTGTGCCTCAGCTATCTGCCTAATATCTTTGCTTCGGCCATCGATAAACAGGTCCCGAATGCATCCCACATAGCCATAGTTAAGCATGGCAGTCCACAGCTCCGTGGGCAGTATGAGACCTGCCCGGTTCTCAGGTAAGCCACCCAGATACATGTCCCCTTCTAAATCGAGAATTTCACTCTCTCCACTTGCTGTAAATGGTGTGCGGCGACTGTTTACGGAAATGGTACCTGAAAAGAAAATCAAAATGCGTAATGTAATACAAAATTGTATGTTGAGACAACCACAACTGATTTTGAAAACTCAAGAGCTTCTTGGGTACATCTACAGTATAGTATCACAGTATACCTAGTACATAAACACCCTTCTTCCCATGTACTGTGATTGCCTGGCCTTAGTTTAAGATACAAGCATCTTAAAACAGTTACAGAAATGAGTTTTGTCGTGTTTTCTTTCAGCTCACAGTGAATTTCCTCTGTCTCAAGGAAATAGAGGTCTGAGCAGGGAATATGGACAAACCAGCTGCAGGCTTCTTTCTAATTCGGTGCCTTTTGACGATTATTAGAAGTAGCAGAAAAATATACTTTATTAAGCTTCCCAACATATAATTTGAAAGATTAATAAGGAAAGGAGCAGGCAGTTTTTGACTTACTAGGAGATATATCATGAATCCTGAGGCAAACACGCAGCTGCTGTATTACAGTATATGAACTGCTGTACCAGTGCATTACTCCTGTTTATTTTCTTAGTTGCTCTATTCTAAGCCACTGGAACTCCCAGACTTAGGCACCGAGGAGGATATAAAGTTTAAATAGCACCCTGTACTTAGGGACTCCAGATCAATATGAATAATCTGTCTTGAAGTGACAGATCTGCTCCATATCACCTGCTCACCATTGGCTAATGGGCTGCATTCTTAATATCCCTTTAGATTTCAAAGGGGTCACACTCTATAAAACGACATGGAGCCTTAATGATCGATTGAAAGGTGGCAAAGCGAGACTCAAAGGCAACAGAGACAGAGAGAAAATACGTATACTAGGAGCTCTGCCCTAAAACCTGTCTGACTCATTTTGCTTTTAGAGTGCTTCAGTAAAACACAACTGTCAGCTGTGTCAAACTGAGAATTACTCAAGCCATTAAACCAAAGCATCAAAATGGATTTAAAATTTGTAGAATGCCAGGTATCCCCCATTTAAAGTAATTATCAGAGTTTTACAGCTCTCAGTGGGCATTGGTGCATCTCACACCAAAGTGCATAATTATCTAATAGTCCTTTGCTGAACATGGTTGTTTATCTCAAGTTAGCATGAAAGTAATAAAGTAATAAATTGTCTTAATTTGACTTAGGGCAAATTACCTGCTCTTAGTAAACATCTTATCAACTAAGCTTGTAGCTATAAATTTTACAACAGTACTGCTTTGTAGTTTTAAAATAATGAACATTACTTGTGTAAAGCAAACCTTAACATTTTAAAATTAAGCATGTTATTTAAAATAATGTATCTGTTTGTAAAAAAATAATTTTCAATTGTTTTAATAAAATAAAAAAGCAGCCCTTTTGTTTCCAAACTGTGTTGTCTTTGTAAACATGTTATTTCTGAAGTAAAACTGTCCTTTTCCCCAAAATACGTCTGTGTAAAATAACTGAAGCGATGCCCCTCTGTTTCCTGTCATGTGTTAACCTAATCATTCATGATTAGCTGCTTGCAGGTGAAATGTTCCAGCTCTGTTACTTTATAAAACTTCATTATGAAGGATTAAACTGAGTGAAATATGGTATGTTCTTGTATACTCTTCTCTTTTCAAATGTTTATTGATATTTATATGTTGTAAGTACAGTAATTAAGTACAGATTGTTATTTTGCCATGAAAGCTACCATCAGTATGTAAAACGATAGTTCTGTTCTAAGAAAAAAAAAAATTTTTTCACTGTAAATAATCTATAACACTACTTATTGTAAACTGATGCTTAAGAATGCCGATTTCTGTAACCTATAAAATGCTTTGCGCCGAGAAGCCCAATCCATACCTGATCTTCCATCCCGTTGAATATCCACATGATACCACTCTCCGTCGTTGACCTTTTTCTGGGTGGCTTTGACCTTGATCGTGCCAGACCCCATGTCCAGCAGCAAATACAGACTGCCATCGAGCAGCTCCACAGCGAAGAAGTCAACCTTGGTGTTCTTCTGGCTCCTGGAATCCTTCCTGTCCTGGGGTTTCCCGTGAGTGAACAGAATAAGTCCGTTCGGCTCCGAGGTGCGGAAGTCAAAGGAGATGGAGCCCATCCTTTTGGTGTTCCACTTGGGAAGGCTGATGTAAGCTTCGGGGGTCTCGAAAGAGATGGGATCCAGAGTGGCTACATTTTCACACTTGAACACCACGTCTCCTTGGATCTTCATTTTAGGGTCTATAATCCTAGCAAGGCGTGACAGCTCCAATCGGATGTCATTGTTCTTATACACAACCTGACAAAATGACAAAAAACAAAACCCAAGTGAAAACCCATGGATGAGGTTGTCCATGACTATAATGAGTCAATGAAGTCCTCAAAAAAGCACTGTTCAGAAACTATATAAGTGAGGGTTGTGAAAGATGCTTTAGTGGCTGTGAATCCTGGCTTGACAATGTCTTTCACAACATCATCTGGAAAGATTCCACTGCCATTACCGACACCTTTCTATGTTAGTTTCTGTCTTATTTTTGCAATCATGTATGTCATTGCACTTACATCACAATAACTGTTTATATCCATGTGTCTCAAAGGTCTGTACTAGACAAACTTTTTTTGCCATTTCTTACTCTCTAGACAAATACAGTACTTTTGAAATGTGGTACTGCATATAATACTGTTGGTATGGTATTGGCTCATACAGATGAGCCTTACATTTGCCCTTTTCTCCTAACGAACAGCACTGTTTTTGCTTACTCCATGTTAGAAGGATATAAAAAAATGTGTGTGGCAAAAGTTTCTTATGCTGAAAAGAGAAGAGAGAAAACACAACGTTTCAGCTGTGGAGTCTTCTTCAGGACACTGCAGGTGCTTTCACAAAGTCTAAATCAGATTCACTGTAGAGTGCCGTTCAAGATCTTAAAACCTTCCTCCACTGTATTAGAGAGGCCATGTGCAACTGAGGGCACCTCAATCACCCTCGATTTGAGTCTCATATATAGTAGATACAGGTCAGCTCCCTGACACAAACCAGGCTGTAAACTATGAGCGATCATCTTTTATCTCTGCACCTCAGTTATGAACTTCTTTGCACATGCATACTAGAAACCCCAAGTCCATAAATATGGACCTAGATAAAATATTTATTTGAATTCACCAGCTTTAAATTCTGCTCTTTTCAATTGTTTTTTTAAATATTGTTTTGTATGTGTTTGTTTAACGTAATCTTTAGAGTATAAAGTGTCTTTAGACGAAAGGCATGAAATGGAGCTTCGTGAAGAAAATATGATTGATTGAAACTAACTCTCGGAAAGCTCTTTAACGGTAAGTGATCAGGAGATGAGGCCCTCTGCTCAGAACTAAATGTCAGCACAAGGACAGTTAATTCTACCTTAATGTAAACTGTATCAATGTCTTCTATCAAAGCAGGGACAGGAAACCATGTAGAGACTGGTAAATGTTTTTTCACTAAACTGACACATGAATCCCAGTCTGTTTCCACAGATAGCTATGGTAATGGCCTGACAAAACATCACAGCATCTTTCTTTGTACATTACAGCAGCAGGAGACATGCTTGTTTCAATTCTTCTAAAGAAAAATGGGCAGTACATAACATCAAGGAGTAGCGGTAGCTCAGGCGGCAAGGGTGTCTAGCTTCTGACTGGAAGGCCCCGGGTTCAATCCCAGGTAGGGGCAAGCGATGTACGGGAGGTTTCTCTCGTTCCTTCCAGACGGCTCCCAGGTCCACTCAGCCTGCTTTCCAAGTGAGTACTGGGAGTGAATCCTTCCGGGGGTAATAGGCTGCCCAGACCGTGATGGTGACCACATCACCTCCACCTCCAGTGTCAGATGGTCAAGGAAAATGATGGCCCTTGCCCCCCATTCCCCAGGGGCCTTTATGGCCTGAAAAGGACCTGCCTACAGTACCTACTGTACATAACGGCAACACCCCAATGCTACTTGAAGTGCTAGGACAGATTCAAAAAGACTCTCCTCCCAAACTTCAGTTGAGCAGCATAATACAAGGGGAATCAGGGCTCTTGATTAATGTACTGTTAAATAACCTACTTTAAAACAGAGACCCTTGAAGTTTTTGTAAACTTTTGTTTGACAGTAAAGGCAAGACTGAGTTTAAGTGTTCTGATTACCACATACGGTAATACTCATAAATTTAACACAATAAATAACGACTCGTCTCACGTGGTTTGGTATAAGCACTGTCCTGAGACTCTTCTGCCAATATTTTAAGCTACGAGTATGACCAAGACTACAACCTGGAAACAGCAGTGGAGGATCCAAACAAACTCTAACTGCAAAGCCCTAACATTTTTCCTTCATTGTGTGCTTTATGTACAAAAATAACTTTAGTATTGGTCCTAATCGGATGAGATGTTACAAATGAGTAAGTAAATGAGCAGCGTTCAGTCTGGAGCGTTACATAACAGTTGTTGGTTAAAATGTTAGTTTATATTTGAAAAGTAAGAACTTTCTAACTAAATTGTTGGTTTAAATGACAATGGGATCTCCCAGAAGATGATATCGGGGCTCCGCTTCGCAATTTGTATTGCACATACAAATAAATATTTTATCTTATAACTTATTCATACATCACAGATAAACTGATGAAAATATTTTGGGTTTACTACAGTGTAGCTACAGTACCTTAATGTTTGCTATTCTCTAGTTGTGTATGGAATCATACAGTACCATCATCTGTAAACAGTGAAAAAGTGTCTATAAGTTTATACATTTCTCGATTGCGGCTCAATATTGATTGAACCAAAAGAGAGCTGGTTCAACACGGATACTTTCCAGACCTCGTGTCAACAACAGAGCGTAGCTGTGGTTAGATCGATCTACGGCTCCTTTCTATAAATAGAATGAATAGTAAGAGGTGTACACCTCAAGCATAGCCAGGAGAGCTTCGAGATAACCAGTAACACAACTCATTTCCTAAGGTTCACATTTAAAATAACCCAAAAAAAGACATGTGAGTCAAATGCCCTTTACAAATATTTCCGTGACTCAATTAACTCTATCTGACCTAGTCGAATACAGTATACACATGTATGAACTGGTCACAACTTGAATCTTGCCTTTCAAGGCACCCAGTTCCATTCTAGTTTATTCTAGGTGAAATACTGTAGTTGCATCCTGCCCAGGGAATAACAGCACCCTGCCAGAATAATAATAATAATAATAATAAACTTTATTTTATATAGCGCCTTTAAAGGTGGCTTCTCAAAGCGCTTTACAGGATGACAATAACAATAAATAAGAAGACTACAACAATAAATAAGAAAATTTCACAAGACAGGACACAATTATAATTACAACAATACAACAATAACAATAGAGGAGACCGTGGAAGATGGTATTAAGAAGAGCAGAGGGGTGAAGAATGGAAGCAGTTAAGTAAAGGCTTTTCTGAAAAGGAGGGTTTTGAGTCTGGATTTGAAGGAGTTTAGAGAAGGTGACTCTCTAATATCCTTGGGCAAGGAGTTCCAGAGCTTGGGGGCATAGCAGGAGAAGGCCCTGTCGCCCATACAATGTAGACGGGCTTGGGGGACAGTAAGGAGGGCAGAATTTGAAGAGCGGAGGTTGCGAGGTGGGGAGTAGGGCGATAAAAGTTCAGACAGGTATTGAGGTGCCAAGCCATGTAAAGCCTTGTAGGTGAGCATGAGGATTTTAAAGTCTACGCGGAATTTGACCGGAAGCCAGTGCAAGGACTCCAGGATAGGAGTAATGTGAACACTTGCACTAGATCTGGTCAGGATTCTGGCTGCTGAATTTTGGACATACTGCAGCTTGTTCAGAGTAGATTTAGATACCCCAGGGAGCAGAGCATTGCAGTAGTCAATTCGAGAGAATACAAATATGTTGATCAGCTTTTCAGCCACAGTTAATGATAGCATAGGGCGTAGTCTTGCGATATTTCTAAGGTGAAAAAAAGATGTTTTGACAGTATGCTGTACATGTGGGTCGAATGTTAAGCCAGAATCGAATATAACCCCAAGGTTTTTCAATTTTGATTGGAGCTCAAGTACAGAGCCATCTACAGACAGGGTTACAGGACTGTAACTGAAATCACCGGGCCACAGCTATGGGGGGTTGGAAAGTGTTGTTGATAGTGAATGATTACAAGTCAGAACAGCTGCGATGAAGGGGACTTGGTCGCCATCATCCCTTCCAAACTTTCATTCCAAACTGCATTAGAATTTACAGAAATAAACATCCCCTCCATTTGGGGTATTTTTCAGAAAGAAATCCTTTTTGAGTTTCAGGATTCTCACATTGAGCATTTTGATTCGATTATTTTCAGAAGAAAATTACTACTGGTGCCCAATGTTATGAAACACAGACCCCTGCCCTTTGAAAACATCTCAGACTGTACTGTCAGTGAACATCCATCACCTGACCAACGGCTTTTCAGCCATCGACACTGTACACCTCCCGACATGATTAAAAGATTATACACAGAACAGGTATAAGGCCTTATCAACACAAGTGTAAAAAATACAGCAGCATACTGTACATACTGTAAGCAGTCCACAAATACACACACATTCACAGCTCTACTGCTCCACTAATACTGTGTAGAATGACAGCTGGCTATTAAAGTAGGAATTTCTCTCTGTTAATGAAATGCTGGCAGCACTCTTCCTTGATCCCGCTGCTGTGATTCAGCCTGTCCCACATTTTTTAGCTTCCCGAAAATCTCCTCCTTTTCATATCTCCATCTTTTTCAGGCTTAACATGGCTCACGACTACGAAACCCTACTCATCTTCCCGTGAAAACAGCCCACAATTCCTAATTTTGATTTGTTTCCATTTATGTACAGTATATTGAAGGACCTGAAGAATGAAGGAACACAAACATTTTTCCCCTAAGAATAACACCTAAGAATCAGTGTACCAAAAGGATTATGTGTGTCAAAAGTTGGCTTAACCCTCTTGACTGAGGGCTGACCTCCTGGCCAGAGGGCGAGGAGTGACCAAGGGGCAGCTGCAGAGGAGCAGATAGGGTGAAGATGGGAGAGAGAGAGAGAGAAGCGAATCACATACAGTATTTACATGTATAGTTTTTAGAAAAGGAATGACCTGATTAGTGATTGCTAATTACTGACAGCCAAGTCTGACTGAACTTGGTCGTTGTCATCCCGCCCGGACATTCATTATAAACTCCATTTAGTCTTGAACAGAGAACTGGCTACGGAGTGACCTGATCCAAGTATTCCACCTCACAGGCCTTGACAAAATCAGAGCAGTGGACTTCTTCAGGGTGAACAGTGAAA